AGATTCTTGAGATTTTCATTTCAAATATTAAGGCCACTCAAGACTGAGATAACCTGTTTAGAAAATGAAGGTCGAAAACCGGCATTAATTTCCCAGTCGCCTGATGCAAGCAGAAAATTGCGCGGCTCCTGCCGCTTCGAATGATTGAGTGTTTTGGTAACTAGGTAAAAAGAGATGAATGGGTATCCGATAAGAAGAGTGGCCGATTCCCAAAACGCGAGGTATGAACGCGTCTTCAGAATGAACCTTCCACGAGGTGTAGGCAGAACCTGTAGTTAAAGCAAAAATAGTTCGGAGGGGGGAAGCATTTTTTAGTTAGTGTCGCCTACGGTAATCTTTAATTGCAAGAGTAAAGAAGCTCAGGGATAATGAATCGATTTCCTTGTGCGAAAAGAAGATTAGGTAAGTATTAATATTTAAAGTTTATACGGTAAAAAGTGCATGTTGCGGTTTTGAATGCGTTGGACTCGCGCGCCAGTCCCAGTCTCTACTACACTTAAACCAAAATATAAGAACGAGCAGTTGTCTAATGACAACACCTGGTCAATACCGATAACAAAGACCGTAATATAAATGTATAAACAAACTAAATTGAATGAAAGATAGGAACATAAAAGAAGACATAGCAAAGATACAGAGAATTACTACATACAAGGTAAGTACATCTTACATATAACATGCCACACTACGTTATTGTTATTGAAAAACAGCAAAAGTATACAGTAGGTGTTGGCATCCATTTAAGCGCTTCAAGGATCCAAAGGAGAATGTTGGGCACTATTCCCCATGACAACCCTAGACGTTCGAGGCAAAAGCAAACTAGAGGAATAGAAAACTTTCCGCTGAAACTTCATTTGAGGACAATTGCGTCCAGCTCAGGCCAAATGGTGCCAAATTCGAAAACGAATCTCGTGTTCAGGTTAGGGCACTGAATTATCTCGGTTGACGGACTACTTGAACTCAGCCCTTTACCGCCTCTGCGCTCTCTAGCGGGTCCCTCTCCTCTCCAAGGCTTAGTCCTAGGGCATTCTCTAATCGTCTGTGCTCTAGCCATCGCGGCAGGACCATTGAGGAAAAATCAAGTAGTCCGTAAACCGAGTTATCTCCACAAGTGAAATTTTATGAATTTGGCGAGCTGACACGTCAAAACGCCGTCAGCTGACACCAAACCGCTCAACTTCAAAAACCAGAGTCACTTCCGCAATCAGGACACTGAGCAACTTCTGCACACAAGTTTGAAGAGAAATATATCCCTCCTAGGGTTGTACTAGTGCTAGTGCAACAGTGCCGAAAATAGATAAAGAAGATCAAGTATCCCCATGTTTTAGAAACCATAAGGACAAAGGACTTCAGAGCCTTTAAAATCTGCTCACCAATGTTGAAGTTCCTTGTGCGCTTCTCAAAAAGAGGATTCTTCACCTCCTTTTGAACGGCAGCAGCACGAAGTTGTGCTGGAGGAGCGGCAACCTTCTTCTTGATAACCTTCTTCGAAGGCTGAAAAATAACGTTACGTCAAGTTACTAACAATAATTTCGAGTCACATTCCACCCACACACTACAAACCCCTCACTTTTTCGGACTGTTAAGTAAAGTCTCGTGAACAAAATTACGTCAAGTGGCTAACAATAATTTAGAGTCACAATCCACCCACACACTGCAAACCCTCACTTTTTCGGACAGTTAAGTTCTCGTGAACAAAAAAAAAACTGTGTTAAAACACACAGTTCTCGAAAGAGCACGAACAACCACTGAAACTGGTGGAAAGCACACTTCGCACATCAAAACATACGTCCCATACGAAACAGAAACCGAAAGCAAACAGTTTGGAAAACACTTTACTCACCATGGTTGAGCGACTTTAGGCCCAAAAATGAAAAGTTCGGCTCGTGCGATGAATAGCAGAAACCCTCGTCGTCTGGACTCTATCCTCCAGACACGCAGGGGCGCGAATTTCGAAACAAATTTCGCGGGAGCACGTTAAAAGAAAATCTGCTGTCAACTGCTTGTTGGTTTATGAACCCGTTCTTTCTACCTTTTGCTTTCATTTTGCTCAAGATTTGATCGCTGGCGTGAGAGCATATTTCTGACGGTGTAATGTGGGCTGCTTGATTCTTCGAGTGCTCAAAATCTGCTTCATTTCTAACTAAACCTTACACATAGTGTGTGCTATAGAAGTGGCAAGATTTCTGGGTGATGTGTTTAGCATGAAAGTCAACCTTGTCATGTGCTCAATTCGACCCGACCCGTTTATAGCTCCGCGAGTTCACGCTTCGGCCTCTTCTGCGAAAAGTTAGTACACATTGTTCGAGTTTTGCCCCCGTATGACCTTTCATCGATATGGTGCGTTGTCGATTTCTCAGTCGATAGTTAAAATCCCTTTCAGTACAGTCACCAGATCTCAGAAGTCGCGAACCATGAATGGGGCAGCTACAAGGCTGATGTCAGACTTTGCGAATCCAGCGAATCGCGGGATGCGATCGTTGCACCAGCGGGTCGAACGATGTATAGGCGACTTGACACTGTCTAAAATGTGGCCGGACGCATAGTCGGTCGGACGACAGCAACGACTGCAAGTGTCGCACAGCATCGGGTGCGTAGCGGAGATGAATCATTTTGTACTCCTACTGACTAGTATAGGGCGCCATTCGTTGCGGGACCCACTGCCTTAACCCGCGGGGATCCCATGTGATCGCGGTTGAATTCGAACATTCCAGCTTCTCACGCATGTCAAGTGTCTGCCCTCACCCCCCCCCCCTAGACTGGCGACACTGCCCCTGGCTCACGGATTCCCCGCTCCACATTGAAGGGTTCACTGTAGCAGGAGGCAGTGGGACCCGTAACGAATGGCGTCCTTTACTAGTCAGAAGGAGTACAAAACGATGCGTTCTGCGTATCGATCTGCGACAGCAGCGGTCGGACGACAGCAACGACCGCAGGTGTCGCAGATCGATACGCACCCAATGCTGTGCGACACTTGCAGTCGTTGCTGTCGTCCGACCGACTATGCGTCCGGCCAGTGCGGTACCGCTCTCTTGTTTGCACGTTGACTCTCGCTACTTTCTCGAGCTCTCATGCCCTCTCACCCCCATTGGGGGCCCCAATGCCCTCGTGCCCGAGAAATGCCGAGTCAATTTTCAGAGTGAGATTTTTTCAGATTTTCGTTCGATCGCGCAACCGAGTAGATACGTGTAGACGTCTGACTCATCCGATCGTCCAGTCGTGCTATCGGCGCAATCGCATGGTCAAAAGTATAACTGTGGCTTATTGTACAGCACACATGATTCTGATTCTGATGATTGTGGATCGCCGGCGCATTCCAATCCTACCCAAAACTTCCCTATACGACCCACCGTCTGGCCAAGATAGACGGGTGCTTGACACTGTTTGGGGGAAATTGAAGCTCCATTGCTGGGAGACTGCGTAGTTGTTCCCTGATCTGTAAATGTTTGGAGTTAGTTTTGAAGGCGATAGTCTACTAACATAAGAAGATGCATAACATAGGTGAAACTTGCTAAAGACAGTCTAGAACTGGACAAACGGGAAGGTAACATTGCTCAGGGTACATGTATTCAGCTCACAGTGTGCTCCGTTGGACCGAAAGAAGCGCATCCGTCAGGAATAGCTATTGATCTGCGACTGGAGCCATGCTCCCTGGAACTGCCTATTCCACACTGAGCGCGAACTTACCTTTAATCCTTTTTGGAGCTTCTGCAGATTCTGCGTTTCCGCTAGGAGACTCACCTCTCCTGTTCCCCTGGCCTGCTCTCATCAAGTACATATGGTTCCTAGGCTCAACATCGTACCTTTCTTCCTTTCAGCAGTGTACAACGTCAAATGCGACTTGCTTTTTTTTCGTGATAACTGTCCTATTCTTGATAACGTACAATCAGTTTCTTCAATTACAAGTTATTTAGAAGTAATTTGATTGCTTGTGGCATGACAGCTGTCAACGCAACGGAAAAATGCCCAATAGTTGTAGATCTAATCACAAAAGGAGATGCTTTGGGTGAGTTTTCCTGTTTTTTTTTGTCTTTGACCTTATCACTGTTCACCCGAAACTAAATGGGGTCTACCAGTTAGGGAGGGGCATCATGATGCATTTTTTCCAGAAAGCTACGGTAACTCCGAGCCAGGGGGAGTGTAGCCAGTCTAGGGGTGGGGGGAGGGGTGAGGGCAGTCACTTGACATGCGTGAAAAGCTGGAGTTCGAGTTTGCATTAGTTT